GTGATCCTGCTGGGCAATGGGGTCCTCATCCTGGTGACCATCCTTGACTCCCGCCTGCACACACCCATGTACTTCTTCCTGGGGAACCTCTCCTTCCTGGACATCTGCTACACAACCTCCTCAGTCCCCCTCATTCTTGACAGCTTCCTGACCCCCAGGAAAACTATACCCTTCTCANTTCCATCCCTCTAGTCCTGGATGGCTTCCTCACTCCCAGGAAAACCATCTCCTTCTCAGGCTGTGCAGTGCAAATGTTTCTCTCCTTTGCCATGGGAGCCACCGAGTGTGTGCTTCTGGGCATGATGGCATTTGATCGCTACGTGGCCATCTGCAACCCCCTTAGATACTCTATGGTCATGAGCAAGGCTGCTTACGTGCCCATGGCTGCCAGCTCCTGGCTGGCTGGTGGAGTCAACTCCTTGGCGCAGATCTCTCTTGCAGTACAATTACCCTTCTGTGGGGACAATGTCATCAACCACTTTACGTGTGAGATCCTAGCTGTGCTGAAGTTGGCTTGTGCTGACATCTCCATCAATGTGATCAGCATGGGGGTGGCCAATGTGATCTTCCTGGGGGTCCCAGTCCTTTTCATCTTTGTCTCCTACATCTTCATTCTCACCACCATCCTCAGGATTCCCTCGGCTGAGGGCCGGCAAAAGGCCTTCTCGACCTGTTCTGCACATCTTACAGTGGTGGTCATCTTCTATGGGACTATTATTTTTATGTATGCCAAACCCAAATCAAAGGACCCACTGGGGGCAGACAAGCAGGATGTTTCAGACAAGCTCATCTCCCTGTTTTACGGAGTGTTGACTCCCATGCTGAACCCCATCATCTACAGCCTGAGGAACAAGGATGTGAAGGTTGCTATGAAGAACCTAGCAAGTCAGAAATGCATCACCCAGTGATAATAGGAGGTCCCCTAGGAAATGACCACATGGTAAGCATAGACTTGCTCAGTTTTATCACAAAACTGCCCTAACCATGCGCATCAGGATGGGGCTTTCCTGAGTGATTAATAATGAAGCATTAACTCTGTAGAACAAAGAGGGTGTTGTGCTAAATCATCTAGAACCGAGAATAAGTGACTTTTAAATTTTAATTTTATGCTGAAAAATAAGAAATAAAATTAAACTTTGTAAAAATATATATTTCTTTCTTTGTTCATGTGCAGACTAGCTGCAATTTGTATGTGCCAATTGTGTTGCTTTCTGCTCTACTGTGTAATGGGGAGCATGGCAATGAGGAACAGCCACTAGTTAATTGGTGTCCAAACTAAAATCCAATCTGCATTTTGGAAAATTACCAACACTAAGACATGCCAAATGACACTATTTAATGCCTCTTTGACTGTAGGAGCTCAGAGTGTTTCCAGTTTAATTATTTCCTGTTTAATGTCCTAGAGCTGATTTTGGGGAACGCCTTCTTCCCTTGCTGTACATAGAGCACATCTGTTCCTACCCATACCCCTCACTCCCTAACACTAGGCCACCACTAATCTAATTTCTGCAGAGAAAAAAAGTTAAGCTATTATAACTTTGTTCCAGAAAGTAAAGAAAAATATAATCATAATGAATGATTAAATAGGAAATCTCAGTATAGAAATAGGGAAAGTAAAAAAGAATAACTAAAAACTGAAACATTCAAATTAAAAATACTAACAAGCTGGGCTTTCAAATGATTGGAGATGACAGAAGGAAAAGTCAGCAAAATGCAAGATAGACCAATAAATAGTATTTAATCTGAAAAACAGAGATAAAAGATAGAAAAAAATGAGTCTTTGGGACCATAAAAAATGGTCTAACTTATGTAACTTGAACCACAGAAGAAGAAAAGAGAGAAAGAGTAGAGCAGGAAAATATTTCAAAAAATAATAGAGAAAAATATCCCAGAAGTGGTGAAAAACATAAAGACACAGATCCAAGAAACACAGAAAACCTCGTGCATAAACATAAATTTAAAAATATAAAATTATATAATAATACACAAAAGTTTGAATAAAATATATCATAGACACATCATAGTCAAACAGCTGAAGAGAAAAGGAAAAGAGGAAAATCTTTTTTTTTTTTTACCCAAGGATATTTTTTCCATTGCTTTTCAGACCGAGTGGAAGGCAGAGAGAGAGAGAAACATGGATGTGAGACACACCAATTGGTTGTCTCCCACATAGGTCCTGACCAGGGCCAGGGATTGAGCCTGCAACCAAGGTGTGTGCCCTTGAACGCACTCAAACCTGAGACCCTTCAGTTCATAAGCTGATGCTCTAACCATTGAGCAAACTGGATAGGGGAATAAAGAGAAAATCTTAAAAACAGATTTAAATGACTGGTGGTTTTTCATGAGAAAAAAAACACACACAAAAAACAAGCTAGAATACAGTGAAAAACATTTTAAGAATACTAAAAAAGAAAAAAGAAAAAACTTTCTGTAACCAGCAAAAATCTTTCAAAAATGAATACAAAATAAAGGCCCTTTCACATAAATAAAAACTAAGAGTATTCATTTCCAGCAGATCTATATTACAGAAGATGCTATAGGAAGTTCTTCATGTTGAAAAGTTATGATACCAGATGGAAACTCGGTTTTTTAAGAAGGAAAGAAGAGCACTGGAAATTATAAATATGTAGGTAAATTGAAAACTCTATTTTTCTCTTCATTTCTTTAAAATTTATATGAGCATTTGAAGCTGAAATTATAACATTGTATTGTGTGGTTTATGGTTTATGTAGATCTGAACACAGATTACCTGGGTCCTCTACTTCAGGGTGTTTCACAAGACTGCTATAAAAATGTTGGCTAGGGCTGGGATCTCATCTGAAGGTTTGACTGGGAGGGTTTACTTCCAAGTTTATTTACATGGATGTTGGTGAGATTCAGTGCCTTGAGGGTTGTTGGTCTGAGGACCTCAGTTCTACATTGTCTGTTGCCCACAGACTTCCCTCAGTTCCTTGCCAAATGGGTCTCTCCAATCTGGCTGTTTGCTTCATCAAACCCAGCAAGAGAGTGTAGCCTTTTGGTTAATAACAAGTCACTAATTACACAAGACCATAAATCCCAGTAGGCAAGAATCACTGGGGCCATCTTAGAGGCTGCTTCCACATTCCAGATTCCACCAACATAGAATGGCCTCCCTGGTCTTTGTTCGATACTTCCTGTTCTTGAAGTGTTTTAAACACATGACTTGTTAAGGCTGTGGAAGAAATATTCAGGCTTAAGATCTGCGCCAGACTTTGTCCCCAACATGGTCTTCCCCTTTCCTCCATCCCTTGCCTAGCCCTTTATTTGTAAATTCTCCTTCATTGTTTAAGTCCTGGCCAGAAACTGCCTCCTCCTTGAAGTCCCCCCAGAGCTCTAGAGCTCTAGGTGGATGTCTCCCTGAGTGTCCACAGTCATGACCTTGAGCACTTGGTTTAGAAGCAATGTGCCCACAGCTGCTGGTTCCATGGGTCATAAACATAGCATGTTTATAAATAATTCTTATCTTCCCAGCTGCTCTTTTCAAGAATGTTAAGCATTTTGAAATTAGCAGAAATTCAATCAGAACATGGAAATGCTTCCTTTGATGTCCTTCAGTGGCTTAAGAGTAGAAAGTTCCAGCAGGAACAAAGGAAGGAGGAAAGAGGCCTTCTTGGAGTGCTTTCAGCATAATTAGATCTTGGGGACTTTGACTCAGAAGTTTAAAAGTTTTCTGACTTTCTAAGATTCCGTTTCCAGTCTTTTAACCACTCCAATTACAGTGCTGTAGTTCCAATTACAGCACTGATTTCAAATGTTCTTCTACATATACTAGTTGTTCCTTTGGATATTTTGCCTAAAACACAGAACCAAGACAGAGCGGGAAAAACTGGCTTTCACCACCTCTTCAAATAAGAGGTGGACATCTCAGCCTGGGCCTTTCAAACTGGTGTTGCTATTTCTGGGCCATGTCTGTCCCAAGACATAGGGACCCTTTCTCAATAAGTTCCTAATCAAGGTAAGTGAGAGGTCTTATGAGTAATCCTTTACTTTTTCTTAACACATTTTCGGCTTCTGGACTTTTTTCCCAAAGGGCTTGGAGCTTGAGAAAGGAAGAAATGAAACAATTTCAGTGGTATTATAAAGATTGAGGGCCATGCAGATCTCCTTCTTCCTGGGTCAGAAAAATTAAGATGGTGAGAAACCTATGAAATTTTTTAGTCTCGTTTCATGGCCTCACCTAACTTCAGAGACACCTTGAGAAATGAGAGGGTCCCATGGTTTCATAGCCTTCTCATATACAACTTCTGGGAGCTCCATTCACACGGTAGCCATGGAAATGGCTGGAGTTGTCCTTGAGTTACGCTCCAGAGGGTGAGGGTATCATTTATGTTGTCTACAGTGTACTTGAGGTCTCCTGGAGCTGTGTATCACTGTGGCCTGGACTCAGAAGAGCCGCAAGGGCTGAGCAGCCAATGCTTCCCGAGCCTTCCTTCCCCACTTCAACAAGAGCAGTTCTGCTTTACATTTGAGGGTTCTGAATTTAAGAAAACAAAAGTTCTCTTTTGTAAAGAGTTTGAACATCATTGATCAATTCTAGTCCTAAAACAGAATAGGGTAACCTGAGGGTGGAAGAGAGGGAAGGAGTACTAAACTCTATACAGCAGATTAGAAGGTTAAGCAGAATACAGCCCAAATCTGAGGCTTACAAACCTGATGGCTTTCCACAAATTCAATGTAATTTCAGAAGGAAGCTGACCATCATATGAATGAGAAAGACTCAGAAAGCTGCCTGCTTTGTTCAATATAAAGAATTTTCTAATACTCTGGAGCTCTGCAAATAATAGAGTACACTGCTTGGTAATGTAGTGACCTCTTTATCATTAGAAGAGATCAAGCCGAAACTGAAAAGCCATGCTTCAGTGTGGTGCAGAAAAAGATCTAGAATGGGAGTGGGGGTTGGACTAGATTACCTGGGAAGCATAATTAGTGACAGGATATTAGTCTGGGTAACATACCTAAGCAGGTGAGCCAAAAGGCGCAAGGACTGTTAATGTCCACTGATTCTTGTGGGACATTCATCCAGGGGGAAGACGACCCAGTAGAATGATAAATAAAAAAGCACTGTTTTAGTTACCTAAGAGAACTACATTTCCAGAAGCTGTGATCCACTGTGGGTTTTTGGAGTTTGTCCTCTGTCTCTCTTCATGGAACATCAGATTCAAACTATTAAGTACATATCATCATTTCCAGAGCACAAAGTTACCATGGAAGCCTCCCCCTTTCCCTTCTCTCTCCATGTCCAGTCTCCTTTTGTCCTCAAAATCCCAGCTGGATTCTATATCACCAAAGGAGCCTTTCATAACCCCTATTTCCACCAATACCCCGAGTGCCCTTTCAGATGCTCTGGCCTCTCCTAAATCCTGCTGCTTCCCCTCCCTGCCAGACTGTGAGCTCATTTAAACTTGGGCCATGGGTCACCCTTGTCCCTCACAGGAATTGTTATACCTACACACTGGGTGATTAACAAGTGTTTTGGTGGATGGATGTCCAGACAGAAGAAAGGATGGATGGATGGATGGATGGATGGATGGATGGATGGATGGATGGATGGATGGATGGACGGATGGACGGAAAGCCCTGGATCTGGTGCTTCCCATGAGAAAGGAGATCTTGGGAACAATAGGAGTATGTTTTCTGTAAGAATGAGCTGAAGAGAAGAAATAAAAAGAGTAATCACAACTAATCACATCACTAGTGGCAGGCACAGTGCAAGGACATGGAGCAAACTTAAAGTTATTTTTATGATAGAAGTTTAATGAGATGAATTGCCACATAAGCCATAGAATCACTAAAACAAATGTGTTATGCCTTGTTTCTGATTAAGTGCATTAAATTATCAAGGCTGCCTTCGTGCCCATGACTGCCAGCTCCTGGGCAGCTGGAAGCG